GAAAAAACAAAAAAACTTTTTTAATAAAAACAAAATCTTATCACATCTTATTAGTCACATGTAGTTTAGATTTGTAACTACATACAAATTTATAGACCAAATTTAGTATTTTGTAAAGGACAGAAAGAAACTTAAAAAATGAAAAGGAAACTAGATAGTTTCATCAGAAGCTAGCAGCTTGTGTGCAATCTCTGGTTCTTTAGGGCATTTCATAAAACTACTCGCCTTCAAATTTGAAGAACCAACAGTGGAACGACACATTAAGGTTCAGAGATTAAACTAGATTTAAATCCAGCACTGTTGCTCTTGGTAGATCTCCTCTCGCTAAACATTATTTAGCAATTATTTAGCCACTCAGGTGTAAAGTAGCTTCACAATCCAAGTAAAATAAAGCTTTATAACATTCACAAAGATCTGTTTTTCATATTTTTCCGTTGCTACTCTTTTAAATGATGACTTTTAGGTACTACTCATTTGCAGCAAACACTTAAGGTTCAACACTTCTTTATAGGTCTACTTTACTACATCTTTTGAACACTGAATGTAGTGTTTGCAAAACAGATTCATAGCAGCTCAAAACCCTCTTATTTTCTCTGCCAACTACCCTACATACGATACATAGCACTAATCTAAGAGAAACAAACTTTGTATTCAAAATGCATGAGTTCACTCTCTTAAGTGGACTCCTTTAAGAAATTACCTTACATCTGGAAGAAAGCTTGTTGATGTGGATTTAATTTTGAATTATGAGATAAAATGGGGTAGATTACAAAGATACTGAGCCCTTTCTAGACTCTTTATCACAATAATTAAATAAAAACAATAACAGAGTTTATACATGAATGAGTAACTCTTATTTAATGCTTTTTAATGCTCTTAGAAATAATCTTAATGCCATCAACAAATACCCACGACTTTTTATATATATATATATATATATATATATATATATATATATATATATATATATATATATATATATATATATATATATATATATACATATACACACGGTAAAATCCTTCCCCATCTTCACCATGGACAGGCTGCAGCCGTGTCCCGAGTTCCTTGTTTTCCCGCCACTTTGGTTCAAATTTGCATTTTCCCCCATTCTCTAGCCTTTTCTCCGCCTCAAGCTTCTTTTCCGAAGCATTTTAATGCCACGATTATCAAATTGAATGAATTTTAATGCCAATTAAGGCCTTAATTTAAAAAATAATAATTTAATGACTTTTAATGACATGCAGAAACCCTGATTAAGTTAATTTCACTTACCAAACATGCACCACTCCCTGTTCTATATTAACCCAAAATAAATGAATAAAAACAGTTTAATTGTGATTTTAATAACGTGGTAAAGTTTGAAAGTGAGAAAAATGTAAAAATCTGCATAGGGGGAGTTGTTATAGTGACTTAAAAAAAAAAGCAGCCTGTTATTTGGTGACATCAGGGGTTTGGGTGCTTAATTTCTGGACTTAACAACTGAAACTAAATGAATCTCATACTGATTGGTCAAGAATATAGTCATATTGAACTCATTAAAAAAAAAATAAAAGCAAATATCTTCAGATAGCTGGAAAACCTCATCTTTAAGATCACTTTACCATACATTTTGCTGCCTAGACATAACATAGATGATTTAGACATTTGCAGCCATCTTCAGACACATTCTGCAGCCGAATGGATCCTCTGAAGGTTATTTTCCATCTTAATCACTCACCAAGTTCCTCCCTGGGCCTTAGCGTGTGGTTATCATGTGATTGTTAGGAAATGTGGTCACAATAACTGCTTCACAACCCCAGCTTTAGATCCATGTTTACACAAACTAGGCATAAATTAACCCCCTATTAAAACACCTATAGACAGGTTTAACCTATCAATGTCATCATCCTTACTGAAGTAAAACAGCTCAAAGCAATACGTTTTAAAAACGTCGTAGTTTATACATTAGCAAAACGAAATATAATCTACCAATATGAGATATAATGGAGTAAAGCTGAGTGTTTGAACACTTTGTTACCTGCTTCTGAACGTCGGCATCGCTGAGCGCCATGGTCACCGCTGTTAAAGGTCCACCGAGGCCTGCAGGAGGGGGAAAACGTCCACAAACACGGTTTTAAAAGCAGCCAACGAAAGCAGTCAGTTAACACTAACAATATTTATATTTCAAATGAATGAAGAAACGTTAAATACGTAAATATACCTGAAAATGACAAAGGATACGGTCTGAATTAATCTCCGCAGTCGTGACTCGTAAAGATGTCTACGGCAGATCAGCTGACCAGCAGGAATCACCTGATGCTAGTTTCTGCTTCAGCAGCGGGGAGCTATCGGCTCACAGGCGAATTACCGCCCCCTGCTGGACCGGGGAGCGAAGTGTCATATTCTTCTTCTTCTTTTCTATTATGGCCGATCGCAAGCAACTTTAAGGTGCATACCGCCACCTACTGTACACGAGTGTGTAGCAACATTACTTTACATCAAATAAAACATTTTTATTTTGTATTCTGTTGATAAATAAATAATGCTTTCCTTAATCTGTGAATATTCTTTATATTTCCTTTATTTCCCAATATTCCTTTAAGGCTTAATTCTTTGCCTGTCCTTCCAACCATTCTTCTCAATTTCTCCCTTTCATGTTTATACGTTTTCCAGTTCATCAATACATGTTCTACACTTTCTTTTTCTCCACATCCTTCACATTTATCATTATTTTTCCTCCCTATTAAATATAAATTCTAATTTAAATAGGTATGACCCACTGTTTATCTGATCATTATTATTTCTTCCCTTTTGTTTCTCTCATTAATGATTCTATTTAAAACTGATTTTTGTACCTTATATAATCTTCTTCCTTTCTTATCTTCGTTCCACCTCGTTTGCCATTTTTCAATTTCTTTACTCTTAATAAGTGATTTTCCTTCCCCTTTCCCAAAAGGAATTGTAATTATTATTGTTCCCTCTAAAGCCCTTTTTGCCAATATATCTGCCCGAAGTGTCATATTAAAATAGAGTAAAAACAAACAAAAAAATCCTGAAAGCGATGTTGGAGAAATAAAATCGCTGCTTATTTAATTCAATTCAATTCAATTCAGTTTATTTATATAGCGCCAAATTCACAACACATGTCATCTCAAGGCACTTTACAGTTCAACCAGATCATACAGTCAAATTGATACAAAGTTTTCTATCCAAGGAAAACCAGTTGATTGCATTAACTCATTGACTCAAATACAATCCCCCACACTAAGCATGCTTGTAGCGACAGTGGAGAGGAAAAACTCCCTTTTAACAGGAAGAAACCTCCAGCAGAACCAGGCTCAGTGTGAGCGGCCATCTGCCGAGGCCGACTGGGGTTCAAGGAGACAGAAGCAGAGATACAAAAAGCAGCTGTAAAAGGCGGCCCCGTCCAGGAAACACACAGCCAGGCAGACGAGCTCCAAGGCAGCTCCCATTCCAGAGGACGAAGAGAGCACATCCACTCAGTCACAGTCAGAGAAACAGGACCACACTGGAAAACAGGCCGATCTCCAACATCTATAAACAAGGGTGTTGATAGAAGCAGCACAGCTGATGTTTCTTTCCAGGATGACGTCACAGTCAAACAGGAACAGACGAGGCAAAGCTACTCTGAGGAAAAGCAGAGAGAGCAGAAGGTTAGAGATTGAACTAACAGATTCTGCAGAATAGGAGAACAGAGAGAGAATGAAGCAGAATGATGAAATGGGGGTCCCTATGTCCTCCAAAAGTCTAAGCCTTTTTTATTTTTTTAAAAGTATGATATAGAGTTATTTAGCTATTGTAGTCATATTTAAAAGTTTTAACCAAAACACAGTAATAATGATGACTTTTAGCTATATTCACAAGATAAATGGTCTTCATATTCAAAGTTATTAGATACAAGATTCGATTTTCCACTTAAATAATGACATTTATAAAAATTAGAGCCCCAGTTACAGGAATAGTGAGTTCAAAGTTATAAGTATAACAGAACGAAAGAGGATGTAAAATCCAAATTATGACAACTCAATGTACAAAAAAAGCTCTACATTTAGATGTTCAATTTTAAGATTCAGAATCATAAACATATTACAACTCATAAATACCAAAGATTATTACACAAATATAAGATAAGAAAGAAATCCTAGTTTTGACTTTAAAAGTCCTATACATTTGTGCAGTCATGTATATTCAGTCATATCGCTGACAAAAAAGTATTTTGCAGTCATATTAATGAGATCAAGCATAATATTATAGTCTAACAGTTCAGATAACATTTTTTTTTTACCTCAACTAATTCCTTTATAAATTTTAATTAACAATCAGAGGTTTAGAATACACTTGAGACTCACAAGGATCTTGCAAATTAAGATTATGACTTTGAATCCCTCCTTAAATATACAGGATGCAGCACTTGTAAAAATCTGCAGAACTATTCAAGAAATAATTTTTTTTTTTTACATCCAAACCACCATTACTGTGTACATGTGCTTTCGTATTATAGTATATCACCTTTTTTTCTGTTTGTAATGTCACATTCTTTGTATTTGCTTAAGTACTCAGATAAAGATACACATTTTTTTCATTGGAACATTCCTAAACTATTTATACAGAGTCAATAGCTACTTTAATGACAGTAAACAGAGGAAGTTACGAACAAAGAGGAAGCATGAGATTGTAAAACATAGCACTAAAATATGCCATTTATAAAAAACTTTGATTAAAGGCAGATAACCTGTACAAAGACTGATTGATTTATGAAAGTAGAAAAACACTGAGCATGCTATATAAAAAAGAAAAATTCTGTGACTGCATGACAAAATCTTCCTGACACACCTGAGGTTTTTGGGTTTTTTGAAGTGCTGCCAGCAGGGGGAGCTAGTAGCTGGAAAGTTTGGCATTAGAAATAGCTCTTTGACGGTCAGTCAAGCATTTTCCACTCATGTCAGTGTTAGCAGCACCTGCTGTGCTCTCTAATCTGTTAGGACAGCCAGTGTGAAACTCCACAGACTCTTTACCTGAGTAAAGCTCTAACGCACTGATCACAGATCTGCTGACCTCTTTACAGGCCACAAACACAAAGGTTAAACTTTGATTAGAAGGTCAGTCTTCTTTTACCCCTATTTTCCGTATCCACTTACTTTACTGTCCATGCTTTTCCAGTTGGGATGATCAGCAAAGTCACGATTGACTCAACTACTGCCAACTGTTATGTCATGGATTTGTAAGGTGGGTGGGTGTGAGAGAGGGAGAGACACTTGTGCACAGCCTGTCCACCTTGTTATTCCCTTACCAGCGCCAGAATGAATTTCTGCCGATCTGCTGATCTGTGGCTTTGTCTCTGAATGCACGTCACACTTTGACCTGCTCCTCATCTAGCAACTCTTCCACAGAGGACAGAGGTATTCCTGTTTTTCTTACCAATCATTTTTGAGTTTCATTAAATATTGATGACTTATTCTGTCCAGAGTAAAACTGCTAATTGTTTCTGGGTGTTGCGCAAAACCGGTGCAGCCAGGGTTCCAAAAGATGAGAAGCAAACAGCAATCTTTCACTTGACATTGAAAGCTGACCTTCTCTAACCTGTCGGCTGCACGTTAGCACAGAAATCTGGGCCTAAATCTCATTATTTAATTCAACACAATCTGCTCCTGATGTAAAGGATCAGATGGAAACCACATATGAATGTGGGGCTGTAAATCAGGGTCTGCTTCTGAGCTTGTAGAGATGCAGATGAGGCATGCTGGATGACTAATGTTATTGTTCATATGAGGCAAGCTGCTGCTACAGTCTGCACAGGCCTACAGGACACAAAAACTTATAGTGGAGTTCATTTTCTTAGGCATGATGATCATATTAAAGTCATCCTTTGATCTTAATGGTATCACTCGTATTAATCTATTAAACTGGTGTTGGTCTATTTTTGCTACCAGTCTCCAAAAGTTTAACATAAATAACAACACATTCTTGCATAAGTGGCCAAACTAGTTTGTTTGGAGACCTAATAAATGTGTTTGGAGAAATCCCTGCATCCTTGTTTTAAATCTGTCAAGCACTTTAAATTATACTTTTGTGCAAAAATCTAAGAGCCTCAACATAAAGGCAATACACCATAACGGATAAATGAATGCTTCACATATGTAAACAAGTGACAACGACTGAACAAGCAATAAACACTAAAAAGTTAGACATTTATCTGCAAACCGGAGTTTAATAATTTCTATATTTGCACATATTTTGCACACTCTATTAAAATGTAAAGTATATACGCCAGAACTTGCTTTAATGTTCTGCACATTTTTAGACCATTAATGCTGGCTCTGAAATTATACTTCATGTTTGCATCCAAAAATATTGCAATGTTTGTTTTATTTTCATCGTAACCCTATTCAATTAAGTTTAGTTCAGTTAAATTTTGAGTGTGACATTTTAAACTCGATTCAATATTCAGATTAATATTATGTTTGTAAAAATATAATGTAATATACCTTCACATTTAATTTAAAGTTGAGTAAGTTTGGGTTTAATTGTTTTAAACATGTAAAAACACATCAATGACCAGAGAGAATAAAACACAAAAGACAACAGGTTAATGTTTAAAATAGTGTAACTGTGTTAATCTTAATTTGCTGTCATCAATTTAGTTCCTTTTTAGTTTAAATCTGTGTGAATTGACTAGATTTAGTTTAACTTTGCTTTAATTTAACCCTAAAAATGTATCTAATCATTTTCTAATTAAACTTTCAACTACAGTTACGTAAACAATTGAAATTTTATTTAACTTAATTAAAAAATATTTGATGAAATTAGGTGTAAACCAAATGGAGCCAAATAAAATTCATAACCTTTAAAATCAACTGTAGGATTAACTGAATGAGTTCAGCTGAATCATTTAACATTGATTAGATATAAAATCAAACACGCTTTTGTTAACTCAGATCAACTAAAATGCACTTTTGTTCATTTTATGAAGGTTTAAAATAAACACAATTAATATTCAATTCAACTTAAATTAGCTGGAGTGTAATTCGCAATAAGTGTTAAACTGAATCATATTGATTTAAAAAAAAGTTTCTATTTCAACTCAAATTCAAAGTTCAGCTGAATTAGATTAATTTTCAGCCTCAGTTCCATTTAATTCAGCTTTAAACAAACTAAACAAGTATCAGCTTCACGAACGTCATGAAGTTCTGATGGATTTAGGTAGAATACAGCAGATGTAATTTTCACCAAACAAAAATAATGAAATTCAAATTTAAATCTATTTTATTTTCATAAAATTTTATCCAATCTAAAAACACAAATAAAACACAGATTTTATTAGATATTGGCGTTAAAATTTGAATAGTTAGCCGAAATAGCAAGAACCTGATAAGTCCTGCAGTCACTTATCTATTTTTTTTGCATATATTTTGCTTCTCTTAATGAGCAACATAACCCAGATTTAAGTCTCCCCTGTTTATGGAAATTAGGTGCAAATATGACACAGATTGACGCCCAGAGAAGACGGGTATGAGGATTATTCCTCATAAGGAAACCAGCCCAGAAACCAGAGACAGCTCTGAAGAACATCATGCAGTGAATACGATACAATAGCGAGCAGAGAGTGTTACAAATATCTATTCTGGGACTGGCATGAGGGGTACGAGTTACAGTAACAAAAGTTTTGCCACAAGAAGGTCAACACGTGACCTGGAGGCACATCTCTGAAAAATTCATGATAAAAAGACCTTTAGATTTTTAGGGGATAGACGTTTTTAAGGTTGGAATATGAACTCAAAGTACGCACCTTAAATCAGTTGGGTAGATTTTGGATTACTACTCTAGGTGGCATTTGAAGCTGTGAGGTTCCAGTTCTTGATTGGCAGATGGATATGTATACAGGACCTAAACATAGCAAGATATGCAAGGCTAAAGATAGCGGCACATAGGAGCAAGTGAGCAATTTTTTCCAGAGGCAGGCATGCTGACGTCACGGAGGCTGCAGACCAGAGGAATTATCTAGTAACGCAAAGAATCAATGCAAGTCAGTTATACTGTCTTGAAAAACTGGATAATTTTTTATATGAAGTATCATGGGCGTAGGTTTGCATAGGGACCATAGGGACATGTCCCTACCAAAGTTTTGAACCGTCCTAATTGTCCCGACCAATAATTGGATGTGAGCAACATGTTTATAATTTACAGCAGTGGCTCTTATCCTCTCGCAGCTCCTCTGCCTGGTCTCTCCTGTCCCTTTCACCTAGCAGCGCATTGAACTGTGCTGCGCTGTTTAACTCCACTCTCATTGGCTGTTCTGCCTTAGGTCCCGCCTTCTCTCTTTCTGATTGGCTGTTTTCTAGTCCGCTGTGCTTGGAGCACAACATTGAAAATTTATTCACACTAGAATGCAGCGGTTACTACAATTAATATTAGACTATGAAACTAGTCCCAATAAAAAAAATGAATATCATGTACACTAAAAAACAAAAACCTTTTTTTTTCTTTTATAAAACGAAATATTCTGAGTCAGCCAGGAGTTCTGAAGACACAAAATGGGCAAATAAAGGCTGTAAGCCATCAACATTTCTGATTCTTAGCCACAGCCACCTAAAAAAGAAAATGTGACGGTTTCCTTTTTACCAATATTTAGTTGCTGTTACTGGTTTCATTTTTTGATGACTCTGAGGAAGTTCAGGTATAATTATTAGCAGGTGTTATTTCTCTTATAGAGGAAAACAACAAGAAATGGCGGCTAAACATCTGCTGTATATCGTTTAAAAAGCATAATTAGGGTTCCAAATAATAATAATAATTTAATTGACTATTTATACTTCTAGAAATAGGATAAAGAGAAGAACAAACAGATGAAGAATATTAACATTGATTTTATCTTACATAGATTTCCACACAGTCTATAAGTAAATTAGTACAAACATTAATGTCTGGTAAAAATGCTGGAATCTGACTGTTTATTTTGGATATTATTAAATTACAGATAAGATAGTGTTATATTGTCTTTTATAATTGTTAAAAGTGATTTTATATTTTAATAAACTTAGGCTCATTCTCAGTGTTGTGTTTGTAGATGATGCCACTAAAAAGAAAATATACATAAGGAGCTATTTATACAGTCAGACAGTAGCAATATAGGACAATGATAAAAGGTTGTGTTACATTTAATCCTTTACTATTAAAAATGCACTTATACATTATATGATTATAGGAAACACAGATATCCAGTAATAATGATGCAGGGCAGCTTGTAGGTGAAGCAGCTGCCATTCAGTGCTTCAGGTGATGTCTAAATAAACCAGGTGAAACTAAAATATTTCCACATGAGGAGTTCTGGATGGAGAATTTTGATTATATATATGTATTGTAGTTTTACAATTTTGGTATAATTACTGATCTAAGTGGGTTGCTCTGTTGGAAAAAGACACATTTTACATTTATATTATGTTTTAGAGTCTTTATACTCCAGTTAATGATGAATCAATTATTAAATTAGTTGACGATTATTGAAATAATCAATTAATGCTTCAAACATTGATAAACAGCATCTAATGAGTGTAGTGTTTTTTTTATTTAATTTTTATTAATGTAGCAAAATTATGCTTTTCTCTTTTAACATTGAATTCCTCTTATCAGTACGGATGCTCACATCGAGCATAAAAAAGGGCGTGCATATTGCATAGCACCAATGACACCCGACCAATCGTGTCCCTACCAAAGTTAAAATCAAACCTACGCCCTTGTGAAGTATAATAATAATTAGAATAATCTGTTGAATGTTGAGTTTAGGAAGAGCCTCAATCAGCAGTAAGACTGAAGATGTTGCCCTAAAGCTCAGGTAGTCTGGATGGAGACCATGTGAACATCAGTTTTGTGTATTTTCATTAGGGCTGAAACAATTAATCGGATTAATTATGATTAACCGATTATTGAAAAAAATCTACTTATTTTAAAATAAATTAACTATTAACTGGAGTATATATCATATATCAATTTGAGAAAAGAATTTCATCTTCTTGCACTCAAAACTTATAATGCTCACACTCAAAACATGCGCTCTCTCAAATATTTTCTCTTCTCTCTCAAATCTTTGTTTCTTCTCTCAGATTTAATGCTTCTTGCACAGATATTTTCTCCTCTCGCTTGCCTCCTTCTCTTCGCGCACAAACCGCGCTCTGCTCGAATCTCAGATACGCTCGCAAACCCGTAGGCTCTGCTTGCGGATTTTTTTTGCTCTCTCTCGGATTGCAGTTGGATCGCCGCCTAGCAACCTTTCCAGCCAATAGAACGACAGCCTCAGAAAGGGTGCGCTTGTTTAACCCTACTGAGTGTGCCTGTGTTACTACGCCACTTATAAGAGCGTCAGCTGAAACTGCTATTTACAGTAGTTTTGTGGCTCGATTCAGCAAAGTTCAGTACTTATGGATAACCCAAACAATTCTGAAGTAATTTTAAACAATTAGTGGTTTGTTATGTACAAAAGCAAAGAACCGACATATTAAATTATTATCTTAATTATTACCTTAAGAAGATTAATTCTTTTCTCAAATTGAAATTATGTGCTCTTGCATTATGGCAGGATAATTCTCCCATAATATAGTGTCTAAAACATGCCTTTAGCTGACAGAGCACTTAGAGCAGTAATTATAGCAAAATTGTAAAAAAACAAAAACATTTTTAATTTAAGATAAAAAAAAACAAAAAACTTTTTTATCGATCAATATGGTCCATCCAGAACTTAAGCGGAAAGGTTTTAGTTTCACCTAGTTTTTTTCCCTAAAAAGTCTATTTTAAGGAACCTTTGGAAAAATAATCAACAGATTAATGGATTTGTAAAATCATCGTTAGTTGCAGCCCTAATTTTCAAAGGTTCTCATTCAGGTTTAGGTCTCTGCTTTGAAGAGGCCATTGTAAAACAGGAATATGTTTGCATTTTAACAGGTTTTTAATGCTATTGTAAGGAGCTGTATTGCCAAAGAACCTTATTGTGAGTTTTTCACACCTGATTTCTGTATTCTGCAGCCAGCCTTCATTCTGGAGGGAAAGGCCCCAGTCGAGTCCAGCAGGGGGGGTGGGGGAGGCATGGAGGTTGGATCCTGCAGTCCTGCCTCTCTGCCTCTCACCCAGACAGAGACCTCTGGACCCTGGCACAGTGAAAGCCTGCTGGCAGAGTCTTGGTCCACCATGGGCGACATGGACCCTGAGGACACCAAGAGCCTGGACAGCGACGACGGGCCCGTTTTAGCTGGGGATGAGAACCACTCCTCCTACTCTGACATGGTCCATCTAGAGCAGGAGGAGGTAGAGATGTTTGAGGAAACAGACGGAAGGAGTTCTAGAAAAGAGGATGAGGACGAGGAGCTGAGGGTAAATGTGCTGAGCATGCTTGGTTTGGAGAGGGAGCTGGAGATACAGGACCTCCAAGCTCCAGAAACAACGGAGCTTCTGGTGTCCACAGAGAAAAGTCACGCGGAAAGCAAGCCTGCAGAGTTCAGACACGTGGTTCCCCCAATGGCCCTGCCTCTGCTGCCTATTGTCAAACTGGACCCCCCCTCCACGACGTCCACCCCCGTCCCTTCGACCACCGCCTCTGAAGTCGACGAGCACTATTCCACTCTGGGGCTTCACCCTCCATCTATCCTGTCACCAAACGCTCCAGAGCTTCAACAGATTCCTGAAGCTAAATTCTCACAGATCCCCCTCCAGGAAGATGGAGAACATTCAGCTGGCGTGACACCACTGAAGAGGCTGGAGCCGCAGCCCGGTGCACCTAAGACCAAACCTCTGAGCTCCTCTGAGCTGCTGTTCAGAGGCGCTGCTTTAGTGGCCGTTATCGGAGTGGTGGCGTATGCAGCGATACTCTTCTGCAAAAAGTAGAAAATCACATTTTAAACAGTTTCTCTTCAGTTCACAAATTCCTGTTGAGTTGTTCATGTTTTCCTGAATTTTGCATTTAATCAGACTTTATTAATCACACTGTAACGCTACCTCGGCTCACAGCAGAACTCATGGCCGCTTTTCAGCTCAAACTCTGAAGAAAAGGATAAGCTTGACTGCAATATGAAAATCAGCTCTTAAAAAAACATTGTTTTATTTAAAAAGGTTTGTGTATAGCTACTCTATTATTTTATTAACAGAGAGACTTTAAAAGCTAGAAAAAACAGCCCATTTATCTATGTATGATACACCCCGAAAAAAATATTTTTCCCCACTTCCTTAAGAGAATAAGGTCATGAATATTCCTTTGGGGAACAGATTCAAGCTAAATGTCTCCATGTAAATCTATTCATACCCTTTAATGTTTACATTCTGTCATATTAATTGTGATATTAGGTCATCAAACACACCAAATTAGAGCATAATAGTGAGGTGGAAGGATTTAATGGCTGATTTAAAGAATCTTTCACTGACAAAAAGCGTAAAAAGATGTAAGTGAATATTTATTCACTATTTTTTCTGCCCGATACGCAAATATGAAAATAAAAAAATGTGACCAGTTTCCTTCAAAAATCCCATAATTTATAAATAAACTCCACCTGGACTTGGAAAGCTTTGTTAACACAAAGGAAGACAGCAGACAGAATGGAAATGGTTGTGGAGGTGTTTAAAGAAGGCTGAGCTTAACAAAAAACCAAACTTACAAGGTTTGAAAATTTCAGCACCGCCGTTTAGACGGTAACCTGTAACATATGGTGCTAACCTAAGATAGGAACACACACCAAGACTAACGAGGAAGACATTAGTCAGACTGCTATAGTAAAATGCCTTTAGGAGCTCAGGGGAAACTGCATAGATCCACAAGATGAGTCAGAAGAGTTCAAATAAATCCATAAGTGGTTTGTCACAAGTCAAGTAAGTAGAAAAAAATACTCTAGTTATACAAGATTAAAATGTTCCTATTTAGAATATAATATATGGTGGAAACACGGGGGTGGAAGCATCATGCTGTGTTGATGATTTTCCAAAGGAACAGGAAAGCTTAGTCAGAGGATAGGGAATAAACCAGTTAGAGAAGTTTAATGAATTTGTTCATGTGTTACAGCGGTCTAGTCAAAGTCCAGATCTTAATCAATAAAGAATCTGTGGCAGAACTTAAAAAATTAATATTAAACCTTAATGCATCCTGAATATGTTTGAGGCCATTCTACAAAGAACTGGCAAAACATTTTGTCTCTAGGCATAAAAAAAACCTGATAGAGGTGCACCTGGAATCTGTAACTGAAGTGAATTTAGAAAACCATCCGTGTATCATTTTCCTTCCTCTTTACAATCATGCACTAGTTTGTGTTGGTAAAATCCCTACAACAGGTGGCTAAAAGTTAAGGGGGTTTAGTTTGACAAACTGCAAAGTTTCAAGGGACTTAATCACATTTATAAAGTATTTATAGCATTAAAATGTTTCTTCATTTCTTTCATAGCATATGGCTTTAGAAAATTAGTCTACTTTGACTAGAAAGATGGTTTAAATCCAAACTGTTTTGACTTTGCTGCAGCTCTGTGTGACACAGATCATTCACCATAAGTAGTAAAATCCCATGAAAGCAGCCTCTGGCCTTTTATTTAGACGCTAATCTCTCTTATCACAGGTTTATTGTGCTGCAGCTTAGTGTGTTGTTCGGTGCACAACTGTTTAACCAAACCACTGAAACGGATAACCAAATGTGTGTAAAGCTCACGGTGTCAGAGCAGGACATGTGATATGCTCTCTATGGAAGCCTTGAACATTTTGCTGTCAGGTAATACAGAGATTTGAACACTAACTGCAGCAGGATTTTTTTTTTTTTGCTGCAAAAAAACCCAACACAAATACATCGTTTATGGGCTGAAAAACTGTAGTTCACGGAAAAAGTCATGCCTCATTTCTTATTTCTTATTAGTTTAGGGCAGCGGTCAGCAACCTTTTTACAGTTGAGGGCTAATTCAGGGGTACTGAGTCACAGGAAGGGCTACCAATACGGACCTATGAATTGCAAGGGTCAACGTTCACCTAAACTTCATACATCATAAACATATCTTTATCGTTTCTTTAAATTTATAATTTTCTTTTAGACATTTTTTAGTTTTGAAATCTCTATAAATGCTTAAATGCCATATATGATTAAATGATGAAATGTTCTATAACTGTTTCAAAAAAGAAGAGCAACAAAATACAATGAAATTTCAAACGTAGCTCACTGTCGAGTCATTCTATTTTCAGAAGACTCTAAGGGCACCCCTTGTGGTCCTTAAGGGCCCCTTGGTGCCCGCGGGCACCATGTTGGTGACCCCTGGTTTAGGGAGTCATATGAAGGCAACCTGACATATCTTTAAAGTCGTTTGGAATTCATATTTAAATGTTAAATCACTCTGGCATAAACATGTATATAAATGTGCTCTTTATCAGACGATATCGTCCCAAAAGTTAAAAAATTTCAATTTTTAAAAAGAAATCCTGTCTTAAAATCTGTGTTTTTGTTTTTCGTTATCTTATGCAGGCCAGTTAGTTATACATCAGTTTGTACACATAAATTCGGCCAATCATATATCAACGGTCATCTGTCAATCAAATTTTTCGGTCATAGCATCTTGATTCATATGTCTCGGCTAATATACGCAACGGTTGATATAAGAATAATTTCCTTTCCCATTGAGTTCCGTCCCAGTGTTCACAGGGATGGACGTCTGTGTCTTCAGCAGGCGTAGAGCTAACAGAACTGGCAGCGTTGCGAGGCGAGGGCTCAAACATGTACGGCTGGAAGCCTTCTACACCAAATCAAGCTTCTGCCGCTCTGGCTTCCTCTTCCACAACATCTTCATCCCCGCTTTCCTCCTCTAAATAAAAAATGGATGACGGAGGAGACTCATCCACGACCTCAGACCTCAAAACTCTCCTCCTCTTGCATGTATCCACTGTCCAAGTGCTGATTTAATTTCCCATTGGGAACCTACTAGCACTAAATTACAAACTAGTTAGCCAGATGTTTCAGACAAACCAGCCACAACCAAACTTGCTTGCGAACCTTCGGCAACAACAATCCCGCCCTCTTGATAAACGACCAATCACATTCACTTTATTCACTGGTGTAAAGTTGTGCACCCCTCGGGGAGAATTCGAAAATGCAACGGTTGGAACGGCCGTTTCCCTACAACTTTTTTCTGCATTTTCACTGATTTTCCATTAAGGAGACATGACAGAGAGCAGAAGTGCAAACCTTACAATGATAGAAATCCTTTTGATTACTCACCAAAGAAAAACACAACCTGACAGAGGGAAAGTAAAATTGTATCTCCAAATTGCCTACATTTTCTTTTTTTCTGTTTAAAGACATGACTGTATAATATACTGACCAATTTGGGAATCTGTTTGCCTGTTAGTAGTAGAGACAATGAGCAAAGAACAGACCAAACCAGCTGGATCTGCAAATTAATTAGTGTTATTTTTACAAAAACGATCTCCCTGTTGGGTAAAACATGTTGCATATAGAAGAATGAATATAATTCTACTTTATTTTCAAAATACCGGGATCAACAGCTGTTACTGGATGGAAACATGAATTCTCCACCTGAACAGAAAGTCGGGAAGGAGAATATCCAACAGTTTCTTAACTTAATTGTTAAAAAAAGAAATTATTGTAATGTGACAATGATCCAAAGTTCATCAGTACATCAAGGGTTAAAAAATAAAGGTCTCCTGTTTCCTAGTCAGAATCTGGACTTAAACTGAATTAAAATCCTGTTCCGTGGCTTTAAATAAAATTTTCAAGCTGGAAATATCTCTGAGCTAAATAAAAGATCATTTGCAAAAAATCAGAAGAGAACAAAATAATATATTTGCTGTCACTCTGTAAAATGCTTTATGGTACCTGTTGATGCCAAGGGCAGAAAACCACAATGCTAATTTTCAGAAGGGTAATAACTTTCCCCCCTTTTTCCCCTTTAACAAAGATAATTATCTTTTAAAAGCAGTTTATCTTCCTTCAATACTTACATGTGTTTGACAGGTTAAAACATTTGTGTGATGAAAAAGAAAAATCATAGAAATCTCTAAGTGTTGAACGTATGCAGAGAATCACAATTACTTTTATGTATGGTGGTAGAGCTGTGATGCTGTGGGCCTTTTTTCTCTTTATGGAAATATAGAACATGGCATCATGTGCTTTTCTAAAATATTAAAAAATATTTTGTTAAAAACTAATGTATACAAGCTGTCGCTGATTCTTTTAGAGGGATAATTTTCCCAAAAAATTTTAATCAAATACACATATTTTTTCTTTGCAATACCTCAGTCTTCAAACCTGAAAGATGCAGAAAATGTGGAGATCAAAGGGAGAACATGATAGAGAAAACGTGATTCCAGGTGATCTAGAACGATAGCAAAAAGGATGAACGGTCCAAATAAAAAGTGTTTAACAGCTGTTCTGCTAGAAAAGGGTGAAACCAAGTATTAACAACAGGAGTGCGAAAACTGTGCCGCAGCCAATGCTGTTAAAAAAGATTACCTGTTAAAATCTGTGTTTTATCATCATAAAAATGACAAGAAATGATGGTTAATGCATTCTAATAATCCTGGTTTTTAAACAGTAAATTTAAGATTGTTCCTGCACTCTGATATCATCTGTTTGATAACAACAATAAAACACAATAGTACGTCGATGAAAAAACACACACCGGTGTTATCAGTTGTTTTCTGACAAACTCATCTAGGACACTCTGATCCACCAGATAATGATTACCACTCTGCGGTTACACCAGCTCTGGGCCCACCAGACTCATTATACATGAATGGCTTTGACACTTCTTGATTTTCATCGAGTGCCAGTAAATAAAGAAGAACAATACGACTGACTGTGCTGCGGTTTGCCTGCCGCACCCTCACCACAGCCAACATGCACGCAGTTATTGAAATTAGAAGGGGAAGGGAAGTGCTCCTTTGTTCGGAGAGATAAAGCTGCAGATCACACACAAACATGATGATCCTCTAGATTTTCTTAACCAAACTGCTATTCCACTACAGTGACTTGAAATTAGAACAAAAAGGTGATCAAAGCAGGTGGAATTCAAGACAAGGGATATTTCTATATATCTGGAAAAAAAATATACATTTTGATCAAACTTTTAATCTGATAGGATAATCTGCAACTGTGACAAAGTCTATAAAAGCAGGATTTTGAGATTTTGCTGCTGTGCACTGGAAAAAAAAGTCATTTTTTTCTTAAAATAAGTGCATTTGTTCTTGAATTGAGGAGATAAAAG